AATAACACTTTAACTCCTAGAATTTTCTTGCTTTTATCCTTGTCCATAATCAGATTCCAGGGGCTCATCAGATTGTCCACGCTAATATTTCTGCTGTTTTTTGCCATAAGCAGCTTCTTCTCCAGGTAACCAATTTTTAGCTTTGGCTCTCTTCACTCACGATTCTTCAAATTTGGGAATGGCAGTGTACCTTAGGATCTCAGTTACCTGATGGGCCAAAATATTGATTTTTAGTTGAGTCAGTTTTTTCTCATCATAAGTATGGAAGCAATAGTTTCCATGGTCTTTACATAGTGCAGTTGCAATAAAAGTTGACTGGATCTATCTTGATTTATGATTAAACAGAATCCAAGATTATATCATTTTTAGATGTTTGTGGTGAATATAATGATTTATTTTATCTCTTCTTAGCTCTTTAGGATTTGAAAAATAGCACATGCTGATTTTATAAAAGTAATACATAAGTATAAGGAAAAATGTGAAAATAGTTTTACCCTTCAATTTAAAGTACCATGTTTCTTAGCAGAAACAAGTATTTCAGGATATGGCAATTTTTATAGCATGCATTATTATCTCAGAATTTTTGGTTTGAAATAGCAATTAGATATGTAAACCAACTAATCATAATGTAATGTGAAATACTGTAAAGAAGGAATTTCGCTCGAGTAGCCCTATAACCAACTAAAGGAGATTGTATCTGGGTGAAGGGATAATTTCCTGAACGGCATCAAATTTTACTTTAGTTTAAATATAGGTATAAGAAAGTCAATTGAAGAATAGAGACAATTGGCAACCCAAGAAGGCAAACATCTTCAAAGTTTAGACGAGCCTGGGAGGGTCAAAAAATAATAAACTGGGGCTGGTGCTGTGGCATAGTATGCTAAGCTTCTGCCTGTGGCATTAGCATCCCACATGGGCACCAGTTCATGTCCTGGCTGCTTCTCTTCTGATCTATCTCTCTGGGAGGGTCTGGAATGTAATAGAAGATGGCCCAAGTGCTTGGACTCCCACACTTGCATGGGAGACCCAGAAGAAGCTCCTGGCTCCTGGCTTAGGATCAACTCAGCTCCAGCCACTGCAGCCATTCAGGGAGTGAACCAGTGGATGGAAGACCTTTGTCTCTGTCTCTTCCTCTTTCTGTCTGTAACTCTACCTCTCAAATAAATAAATAAAAATTTAAAAAATAATAAATAAAATTCATGCAATTAAACTAATAAATCATATAATAGAGCTAGAAACTATAGTGGGTTAAAATTGAAATGTAGATAGGTTCAGATAAGGAGAGCCTTAGCTATAGCATCAAGGAGTATGGCATTTCTCTTAAGGATCTCGCTGATTTTAATGAGGTGTGACATGCTTACATTTGTGTTTTAGAAGCATACTCTGCTAGCAAGAAGGATGGAACAGAGAAGGGAAACACTGGAAGTAAGAAAAAGTTAAGATTCTATAGCAGTGGCTAAATGAGAAACAACTGTAAAACTAAGAAAGTATTCAGATAATTGAAATCCATGCAGAATTTAGTCACTTGTAAGTCACTGCCACAATCCTCTGGGATCTCTTTAATTGGTCTGCTGTGTTTATCTCCTAATTCTTGTCTGTATTGCTGTTAATAGATGCCATCTTCAAGCTTTTCCAGAACTGTCTTTGTATGAGTAGAACATTCTTGTAGTTCCTATCTCCCTAGGATCTACTAATATGATGTTACTTGGGTAGGGACAGCCTGGCTCTGTAGCCTCAGCAGGAGGTGGAACAATTTACATTTCCCTCTGGATCAGATTAAAACTATAATACTCTTCCCTATCCCTTGTTATAGACTAAGCTTGTACCTCCAAAATTCATATACTGAAGCTCTAATCCCCAATGAGGCTCTGGGTGGAAGTAGTCTTTAAGGAGTAATTAAGGTTAAATGAGGTCATAAAGCTGGAGCCCTGAACTAATAAGACTGCAGGTCCTTATATGAAGAAGGGACAGTTGTTGGACAAAGAGGTTAATCACTTGGGATGTCCAGATCTCCTATCAGAGCACTTGTGTGTGAATTCTGGCTCACACTAATGCCAGCTTCCTGCTAATGCACAATCTTAGAACCACATCAGGTTTTGACTCAAGTGCCTGGATCCCTGCCTCTCACTTAAGAAAGTGAGATTGAGTTCCCAGATCCTGGCTTCCAATCAGAGGCCATTTTGGGCACCTGGGAAGTAAACTAATTATGGAAGATCTCTTGTCTATCTCTTTTTGTCTCTCAAATAAATAATATTTTTTTTTAAGAAAAAAGAAGGGGGAATACCAGAAATCATGCTATCTCTGCACATACCCAGAAAAAATGCCACGTCGGGACACAGAAAAGGTGGCTTTGCAAGCCAGAAAGAAAGCCCTCCTCCAGAACTGGATTTTTTGATAACTTGACCAGAACATCTAGAGTCCAGAACTCTGAGGTGGTCAGTCACGTAGCCCGTGGTACTTTTTTGTTGTTTGGGTCGACTGAACAGAACACCCCTTCTCTATCTTCACTCTCTTCCTTACAGGTTGCTTCTGATAGAATAGCCTTATTATAACGATTGCATAAGAGTCCCTACTCTAGTATCTTGGTTGAGAACACTAAATTAGAAGGGACTCAAATCTGACCATTACTGTAATGTGTCTTCTTTAATATCAGTAAACATTCTCGCAAAGAGATGTTATGAAGTGGTTCAGGGCCTTGAATATTTAGTTAATTCATGATCAAGAAAGTGATGACTGCATATGTCAGTTAATTAATCATGGTAAGAAATAGCAAAACAACTACAAATGGAGCCAAATTATTCTTTTAAACCACCATGTGTAAAATGATTCATTTTTTCATTAAACATACGAAACAAAATTTGTCATGCCCTTCTCAAGAAAGTGAATAGCAATTTATTCATTATAACAAATGTAAACATTTAGCCAAGTCTCCATTTTCATGCCTCATGAAAATGAAATTCACAATTTACAATGGCTTGTTAATGGTATCCATGTGTGTATGATTGCTATATGGTGTTTTTATGTTTTTTAAAGAAAATCTCACCCTTTTGTATGAATTTGAACTTTGTCAACGGAGTTTTAGAGGCTTGCTAGTCTTTACAAAATAAGCAAATGGCTCTTCTCAGATAACTTATTTATGAAGGAAAAGATAAACTTAAAAGAGCTAAGCTTCTTTCAAGTATATGATAAAGACAAAGGTATGCTTTTAATAAGAATCACCAGGAAAAGAAAATATTTTGTTAAAATAATTTATCAAGGCAGTTTTGAATTGTGCAATATGATGTCCCTTTGACCTCATTCTTCTCCAAAAGCTGAAAAATCTGTACATTGTTGGAATAAAGAGATAAATTGAATGTACATCTGTGATTATGTTGGCTTAGAAACAGATGATAACTTCAAATAATTGCTTAGTTTCAATAATTTTGCTACAAATAAAAGGTCTCTATGTGATCTTCAGTTACTTTGGCCTCACTCTGTAAAATCGTTTTTAAAAGTGGAAATTATCACAGGAAGTATCATGTGGCAAGATGACACATAATAAACCTATAATACAGCACTGAATAGAGAATCACAAAATAGGAATTCTAGCCCAACAGAGCTGTTGCTTGTATGACATTAACTTCATTAAAAACATTTCCTCATTTGTAAAATTTATAAACAAAACATAATTTATGACAAGGTGAAAATACAGCTGCTAAGTCTGCAAATGTCTAGTGAAAATAAAGTGCTACATAATATTAAAAGGTTATAATCATCATCACCATTTTCAACTGGTAATGTACTAAACAGATTATCAAAATAACCAGTTGATTAAGCAAAGATGAGTCTGTTATTTCCTACAATAACAGAAATATCACAATGACTGACTCTGAAATGGAGGATTAGAGAGGATTTTTTTTATAGAGATTAGACTTTGATGGGGGGGGTCTTTCAGTGCAGTAATTCAAAATTCGTTATCTAACAACTGAAAATCATTGAACAAAACGGTGAACTTTTGAAAGTGTGTTGAGGAGTAATCAGTATTTCATAAAAGGTAAGTTTGTCCTGGATTGAGAAATGCATTCTACTGGAAAGAAAAATTAGTATTAGGCTATTCAGATAAGTAGATTTTCAGAAAGTTTCTGAAAGAAATACTTATATTGCAACATTATCTTCATGGATAAGAATTTATTGGAAAATACAATCAAGCTAATTTAGCCAGTGTTAGTTTTTGGTCCTGTTTGCAAGCACATAGTGTTCTTTGTGGTATGTCATCAACATCATCACGTTAAGTAGATGTCACCTAGTATGAACCTTTCTGTGTCTTTTGCTAAGCATATCAAATCTTGCTTAATTCTATTAATGTGCATCTGACTTTTGTATCTACATTTTAAAGATTCGCAAGATGAATTCTCCTGTTTACTCCCTAAATGCATTCACCAGCCAAACCAGAACTTGCCAGAATGAAGCCAAGAGCCTGGAACTTCATCAGGGTCTCCCATGTGGGTGTCAGGAACTCATGTACTTGAGCCATCACTGTTACCTCCCAGGATTCCCATTAATAGTAAACTGGATCAGAACCAGAGCAGCCTACCCTGCTTTACAACCTGGGCATCCCATGTGGCAGTTAAACTCATTGTATCACGGCCGGCGCCGTGGCTCACTAGGCTAATCCTCCGCCTAGCGGCACCGGCACACCGGGTTCTAGTCCCGGTTGGGGCGCCGGATTCTGTCCCGGTTGCCCCTCTTCCAGGCCAGCCCTCTGCTGTGGCCAGGGAGTGCAGTGGAGGATGGCCCAAGTGCTTGGGCCCTGCACCCCATGGGAGACCAGGAAAAGCACCTGGCTCCTGGCTCCTGCCATCGGATCAGCGCAGTGCGCCGGCCGCAGCGCACTGGCCGCGGCGGCCATTGGAGGGTGAACCAACGGCAAAGGAAGACCTTTCTCTCTGTCTCTCTCTCACTGTCCACTCTGCCTGTCAAAAAAAAAAAAAAAAAAAAAAAAAAAAAAACCCTCATGTATCACAATACCCACCCATGTTTTCTAATTCACTGATGCACTCTTGACTTGTAACGATTCAGAATAAAATTCTCCGTAATCATGAAGAAGTGAACATTTTGATTACATAATGCTGGAAGTGTTTACTTAATCATTTATTTCCTATAATTAAGCAGGTTTGCTTTAGAAGAAAGTTACCTAGTAGGATGATAATTGCATGTCAGATGATTTTGAGAAAATTCATGAACTATAAAAGGACCATATAAAGTAAAAAGAACTGAAAGTCTGTTGCAAAATTTGCACATCAATCAGAGTGAGAACAATTTTAGTTTTCTATATTTATAGATGTACTTTAAAAGAAAATAAGCACCTTAAATTATAAAAATCTATTACTTACATGTTCATTATGCCAAACTAAGAGATGCTCTCTTGAGCTCTGAAAAGTAATATTTTTAAGATTTGATAAAATAAAATCTCTTTAAAGCTATATATTTTTCTAATTTTAGTAATTTCTCAAATACTATAAATTGTTAGCGTCATTGTAACAGAATGGGTAATCACTAAAAATTATTTTTATATTTCTGTCATATCAAACAGATGTCTACATTATATCTGCAGGAAGAATGAAATTTTGTGAAATTTCTACATTAGATAATCAGAACATGTTAAATAAAAGCATTTGATAACCATTTTAATGTAAAATATATCAAAAATACAAATATATGTAGTATATTTGGTTTTGAGAAACACTAGTAATATGGTTGATTCTGTTTTCCTCATTTTTGTTTAATTTGATTTATGTTTCTGATTTATGAGAGCATAAATTCATCTTTAGTATTTTAAAATGTATATAATTATTACATAATTAATGACATAAAACATTTGAAAGTAAATAATCAAAAATGTAAATTAAACATACTATTTACTTTACAAAGTTTCTTTTCACATATTTCATAGCATGTCCCATCTCTGTGTAATACAAGTGATATGTTTCTTTTGTGTACATATTATATATGATAAAACAATGAAGTGCTGATTTTTGACTTGGAGACATTTATCATAGGCATGAACAAAAACATTAAAATTTTCAAAAGTCTAATGGAGTAAATGAATTTAGTTACAAGCAATGGAAGAAAACTATAAAATTACTAACAGCTTGTGGCAGCCTAATAGGAACACAGGTGATATTTCTTTATCCCTTTTAAATAAGTTGCAACCTATCTTTAAGTAAGCTGTGGTTTTCTGATAATGCGTTTTGTATTTAGTTATGTTTTCCCAAAAATATATAAACCCTTGGCTTCTAGAATTATATGAAAGAATAAATAAACCAATCTCCTTTTTTGTTATTATTTAAAGATTTATTTGCTTATTCAAAAGGCAGAGAGAGAAGGGGAGAGAGAGAGATCTTCCATCTGCTGGTTCAGTCCCCAAATGGCTGCAACCACTTGGGCTTAACCAAGCAAAAGCCAAGAGCCAAGAGCTTCCACTGGTCCTCCAAACATGGGTACAGGGACCCAAGCACTTGGGCCATCCTCTGCTGCTTTCCCAGGTGCATTAGCAGGGAACTAGATCAGAAGTGGAACAAGGGGTGGTGCTGTGGCGCAGTGGGTTAAAGCCCTGGCCCACAGCGCCAACATCCCATATGGGCACCGGTTCAAGTACTGGCTGCTCCAGTTCAGATCCTGCTCTCTGCTATGGCCTGGAAAATCAGTAGAAGATGGCCCAAGTGTTTGGGCCCCTGCACCTGCATGCAAGACCCAGAAGAACCTCTTGGCTCCTGGCTTCGGATCAGCTCATCTCTGCCATGGCTGTGAACCAGTGATGAAAGACCTCTCTCTCACTCTGGCTCTACCTCTCTCTCTAACTCTGTCTTTCAAATAAATAAATAATTTTTAAAAAAGAAGAAGAAGTGGAGCAGCTGGAACTCAACCAGGGACCATACGGGATGCTGGCACTGTAGGCCATGGTCTAACTTACTGAGTCACAATGCTGGCTCCATAAATCAATCTCCTAACAAATGATTTAATTTGAAAGAAAATAATGCAGGAGTGTCATATGAACAAATCAAAGTAAAAATACATTCTTGGTGTGGAAATTTGACTAAATATAAATATTTGGATATGATAGCATTTTAGAAATGTTTTTAGTTGTTTTCAACATTGTGTCTGCTTTTGAAAAATGTAATGGCTACTGAGTATTTCAAAGCATTTGTGAGTAAGACAAAGATCAGAATAGTCAGCAATGACATAATACATACAGACTTCATAATACTGGATTGTCTTTGTTAGTAAAGGAAATTACATTGCAGGTTCAGTGCATGCAAGTGTTAACTTTCACCTTAATAAACTTAAATATTTTGATTGCCTTGTTTTCAGATCATGTTAGATATTGTTTTCAATTTTTTAATAAAGCTTTGCAAAGATGAGATGCTGAAGTTAAAAATTCAGCTTTATCATTTTCATTTTGTAATAGACTCTTTCCTTATTCTTTTCCAATTTGCAACAATATCATCTATTTACCTTTAGGAGCTATTAATATGTTGCTTCTAGACTGAATGGTTACTCAAGTTTTTGTTTGCTTTTTAACACTTTCAACTGCTTAATAATTCCATTATTCAAGTAGGAAAATAAAAATGTAGGGCAAAGAGTTGTGAACTATACAATTTCATACCAAGAAGCAGTTTCTAATTCAAATACTTAGTGTATCACTGGTGTCAAAATAAAATTTTGTTATTATAATGATTTTATTTAGAAAAGGGGGAGAGAAACAGTAGAAGGAAGATCTCTCCCCACCATCTATTCTCTCCCTGTAACTGCCTTTCAAATTAATCTTAAAAAAAAAAAAAAAAGAAATGTGTTACAATTTCTCTGAATTTGGAATATCCAGTTCTGCCTTCAAGCAAACTATTTGCTAATAAAGTAAAGATTACTATAATAATAAATTAAGGAGAGTTACTATCTCTTTTGCTTGCTCTTGTGATTATTTGTATACTTGTCTGTTTACTTTGTAATGTAAAGATCTGACATTCTCATGTCTGAAGACAATTTGACTCCAAAACACTACCTAAGTTACTAGATTTGTGCCACTGGGAGAATTACACAATTACTTCTATTGTTTGTTGTTGTTTTGTTATTTTAATCATTTAAATAGATGTACAATAGGACATACATACGTCACAGAGTTATGATATGTGATAGATGAAGCAATCTATGTAAAGACCCTACCATAGAGGTCAGTAAATGTAAGTAATTTCTCAAGAGTAACTATGAGACCATGTGGTTATTTGTTTACTCAAATCTGATTTACTCAGTATTTTTATGTCAGGTATCCATGTATCTAAAAAGAAAGATAACTTATGGGGCCGGTGCTGTGGTGCAGCAGGTTAAAGCCCTGACCTGAAGTGCCAGCATCCCATATGGGCGCCGGTTTGAGACCCGGCTGCTCCACTTCTGAGCCAGCTCTCTGCTATGGCCTGGGAAAGAAGTAGAAGGTGGCCCAAGTCTTTGGGCCCCTGCACCCACATGCGAGACCTGGAAGAGACTGCTGAATCCTGGCTCTTGGCTTCAGATCTGCGCAGCTCCAGCCTTGTGGACAATTGGGGAGTGAACCAATTGGATGGAAGACTTCTTTCTCTGCCTCTCCTCTCTGTGTAACTCTGACTTTCAAATAAATAAATCTTTAAAAAAAAAAAAGAAAGGTAACTCATAGTCATTCAAGAGGAGACATAAGAACAGTGCTGTGGCTTAGTAGGCTAAGCCTCTTCCTGCATAACTGGCATCCAATATAGAGGCTAGTCAGAGTCCTGGCTGCTCCTTTTCCAAATCAGCTCTCTGCTATGGCCTGGGAGTGCAGTGGAAGATGGTCCAAATGCTTGGGTCCTTGCACTGGTGTGAGAGACCTGGAAGAAACTCCTGGCTCCTGGCTTTGGATCAGCACATCTGTGGTCATTTGGGGAGTGAACTAGCAGATGGAAGTCTTCTCTGTCTCTCTGTCTCTGTTTGTAACTCTACCTTTCAAATATCTAAATTAACTTAAAAAAGAAAAAACGAAGAGGAGAGATAAGACATCGCAAAAGAACAGCATCATGCTCTGGATCATGACAAAACTGTACAGGGACAGTCAATATCAAGCAGAAATGTCACGATTATGATAGGTCAGCGACAACAAGAAAATCAGATTAAGCATTTGACCAATTGTTTAGTACTCAGTTTTTAGCTTACCAAATGTTTAGCTGATAATTTGACTCATATTTTTCTAGATTCTTTGTTTTATGGAGACAAACTTACAGTCCATCTTAAACTTAACCTAACTCAAACCTTGGGATTTTAGTTGGAAGGGTAGAATTTCAGCTACTTTTAAGAACATACAGAAATATTCATGACGGTATTTGGAGATGTGCACTAACCCTCTGCTTCTAAGCAAAGGATGTGTTTGAAAAGAGACTGAATGATCCAAAGCAACCTATTTAATCCCATAATGCTTGAAGCCGACTCTGTGTAAAGTATTAATTTACACAATTCTTAGTATAATATTTTTGCAACAATTAGCAGCTATTAGATGTAATAATCATAATTGCAAGAAAAATTGTCTTAAAACATATGCACACAACTGATAGGTTTTTCACATTTTTAAAGAACTCCATTCTTATAGCTGTGGCCAATTTCCCAAAATGCATATATATTAATAGCTAATATATAGAGCGTTACAAAAAAATCAATACATAATGAGATTCAAAGCTGAAAACTATAAATTCCTTAGCAAACTGGAAGGACTTTCCATGTAAGAGTTTTTTCAAAAATGATTTAGGGTGTTATTATCAAACTTCTAATCACAGGTTAAAGATCTCCAATCTTCATCAATTCACATAAGAAATTACCAAAGACATGTAGTGTGCATTCTCTCTGATAGTTAAGGAATATGCTGATGTACAAACATTCAGCTACAGAGCAATTAACAGTACAGTACCCTCTAGATCAGGAAAGTTTAAGTCAATAGCTAAGAACCACTTGAGTGGACAGTGATTGATTTTGCCTGCTCTGGTCTATAGAGAAATGATCGATCTAAGCTTTATTTTGTGCTAGCCTTTTCTCTATTGCAAACCTAATGAGGCATAAGGGGTGAAGTGAAAGTGGAAACAATAGACATGGATTGTGTCTGCATGGGGGGAAACATAGTGATAAGATTAAAAAAAATTAGTCCAAGCGGCTTCTTCATGTTAAAAAGTGGCACTGTTAAATTTCCAAACCTTTAAAATAACTTAGTTTACATTTCAGCAGCTTCTCATTGAATCAACAATTAACTACTAAGTACCTTCTATGAATTAACATGTGCAGCTGTTTAAAAAGCACATTTTATCTAATATTTTATATAAATATCCCTAGTATTAAGAGTCTGTTTCCAAGATAAATAAAAATAGACTCTTGGCTGCCTATCACA